TCTTTTCTTTTTTCTCCTTTCTCTTTTCTTTTTTCTCTTTTCTCTTCTTGGGGTTCGTTGCTACTTCGAATAATCGTTTTGCTCTTCTCGATCGTCTCTCTTTCTCTTTCCTTTTCTCTTTCCTTCTACGAGTCCTCCTCCTCCTCCTCCTCCTCCTCCTCCTCCTCCTCCTCCTCCTCCTCTTCCTCCTTCTTCTTCTTCTGCTCCTCCTCCTTCTTCTTCTTCTCTTCCTCCTCTTACCTCCCTTTTACCGCGGATCTTTTTCTGGTCGTTCAGAACGGCCGCATCCGTGACACATACGTTCCTCTCGTCTTCTTCTACTACTTCTACTTCTTCTTCTACTACTTCTTCTTCTTCTACTTCTTCTTCTTCTTCTTCTTCTTCTTTTTCTACTTCTTCGTCTTCTTCCTTCGTTTCTTATTTATTCCCTTTTCTTTTTATCGAACAAAGACTAAGCTAATTTCGAAAGAGAGAGAGAGAGAGGAAGAGAGAGAGAGAGAGACGATCATGGATCCAAAAGTAGATTAAGCTTTCTCTGAGTATATTATTTGACGTTGTAGAAGATTTTTCCATTTGTAATTAAATATTCTTTTTTTCTTTTTTCCTCTTTTTTTTTTTCTCAAATGAAATCAATCGTTTTACTAATCAAATTCAATCGATTTTTGTTTCTCTCAAATTTCATTCATTTTTCTTTTTATCAAATTCAATTCATTTACGTTTTTATGAAATTCAATCGATTTTTGTTTTTTATCAAATTCAATTCATTTCGTTTTTATCAAATTCAGTTTCATTTTTGTTCTTATCAAAATTCAATCTCTTGGTAATCCTTTTCTTCTCTTTTTTTTTTTTTGAGAAAACTCTCATTTTCTTTTATATCTCTTAATGTATGATAATAAAAAATTATAATTAAATATGTCAATTTGTTGTTAAGAAATCGTTCTTTTTTTTTTCTTTTATTTATTTATTTATTTTTTTTTTGTCTTTTCAGTACAAAGGTATAATTTTTAATACAAACGTATTCATTTAATATTAGTTTGATGAGAAAATAATCGTTGTTTTTAATCGTTTTGTTAGTTTACTCGATACGTAAAAACTACAATTAGTTTTTACATCAATCTAAAAGTAATTAAGAACATATATTAATTCACGATTATACAAATGCATAAAATTGCATAAATGCATAATTGTATAAATTCATAATTATCCATGACGAGTTTGATATTTTTTTTTTTTTTTTATATATATCCTTGGAAACATTTAATTTTTTATTGTGATCATATGCAATATCACAACGAATCAAAACCAAATTCAATTTTTTTTATTTTTATTTTTAATGTGATCGCGTTTATAGTATTGCGACACATTTTCCAAGTCTATCTGTATTACATATTAAATTATTAATAATTAAGAAAAATATATTAAGATAAATTTGAAATATTTAATTTGATTTGTGAAAAGTTGTTGAATGTTATTTGAAAAAATGTGAATTTAATTTGCACAAATTTATAACACGGTAAATCAATAGTTTCTAATTGGGCGAAATGTGATATTAAAAATCGATTAGTCTTTTATGCAATTTTTCAAACTAATTCTTTTTTCTTTTTCAAATCGCAAAACTGCAAAACTTACTTGTAAAGATATAAGCTTAATAACTACAGGATTAAAAAATTAAATTATCGAGAAATAACAATTTTTAAAAAGATATTTAAAATCACGTAGAAAGTTTTAGTCTCGCTTAGGAATTTTTGAGTCGCACTGTATCTTTTTTCTTTTTTTCTTTTTTAGAGTTAAATAATTTTGAAATTTAATGAACAGGATAAACGAAATTTAACGAAGTTAACGAAAAGAATTAAATTATATACGTATCGTGGATTGGTGGATTTAATTTTTAAATGGCCCAAGGCATTAAAGAATTTTTCAGGCTCCGAATTAAAATAAATCGATTATGGATAATATATGTGTATATTTTATCGCTTAAACTATTTATGCAAATTACGAAATGAGAAATACTATGATCAAATACGATTATATATAGTTGCAAATATAGAAATAAAAATGATATACCGGTCACCCATTGATTACTCAAATAAATTTATTATGTAATATAAATTTATATGTTGTTGTATGGATCCTATCTTATTTTATGGAGCCCGAGGCGACAATCTCTATCGTCTTTGCGTAAATCTGCCACAAATATTGTGTGATATTTATTGTAAAAAAAAAACACGGTCTCTCTCTCTCTTTCTCTCTCTCTCTCTCTCTGTTTCTCTCTTTCTCTTTCTCTTTCTCTCTCTATCTCTCTCTTTCTCTTTTAAATTATTAGCTGGTCCAAAAAAACCTTGTTAATTAATAATCTAGCTTCATTAAATGTCGAATAAGATAGACGGGACAAAAAAAATTTTAAAATAAATGAACTGATCAATACATATATATATATATATAATATTTATTATAAAAAATGATTAAAACTATTAGTTTATAAAGATATGAGAAACAATAGAAACAAAATTATAAAATTAATGAACAGAACAATATATGTATTATAATATCATAAATAAATAAATATCGAATGATATTTATTATAAAATAGAATAAACGAAATTCTTAATAGTCAATAGAACTAATTTATAGATACGTATATGTATTAATAAATATGTGAATATCCACACGAACATAAACATATATTGTTTTATAATAATATATATATATATTATATATATATATATATTAAAAGATTTTCTTTAGTATTATTCAGATCACAGAAAATATACTTTTTAATAATTATAAAAATAATAAATATTCCGTCTATAAATAATTATTAACATATATATACAGAACGGATTAAAAATGCTTATGTGACCAGAAGGTTCTTAGGTGATCTGAATAATTATTGTTTTTTGATTTAGAGACAGATTTTTGAAATACTTTTATGATCTGAATAAAAAATGATTCTAAAAATTATCTCGGAAAAGAATAATTGATTTTTAATATAATCAAAGAAATTTGGACTCACTTGTATATCCTGATATCTTTTGATATACGTATATACCTATACGGGATGATTATAAATCAATGAATATCTCGTTTAATAAAAGTTTTACGATTTCATGCGTCGAATATTTTAAAAGTAAGAAATAAAATACCCGACTTCCGGAAGATCAATGCTTTTTTATTTTTCTTACAGAACATTATGATTTTTTTTTTTCATTAATTAAATGCTTTAAATCGATTATCTTTAAAAAAAAAAAAAGAAAAATTATTGAACGAATAATGTAAACAACCTTAAGGTTTCTATACTCGTTTAATAATTTTTTAAAGATAATCGATTATAATAACGAATTAATTAAAAAGATACAGGATGTTCCATGAGAAAAATTAAATATCCTTAAATCATCGATTTCATTCGGAAATCGAAGTATTTTGTATTCGTAATTCTAAAATCTAATTTTATCCATGAAATTATGTTAACCTTTCTTAACTTTTTAAGTGTAAATGACGATACTCGTCTCCATATACATTTTCTCTGTCAAATTTGATTTTGACGGACGACGCCTGCCGCATATTTAAATGTTTAAAAACCATATAAATTTCTTCTAACTTGTAAAAGAAAAAAAAAAAAAGAGAATTATTATGATATTTACATGCATTCTCTTGCTTTCTTTAGTATTCTGCAACTGTTTAGATCGTAAATAACTATGTTAGGCGTTTCGTGAAAGAAACCAATAATAAAAAAAAATCCTTTCAAAAAGATTTCATGTATGCGCCAAACATAATATACAAAATGAGGTCATTTATCAATATAAGCGATATAAGGTAGCATTACATTTACCTGAGTGACTTTCGAGACCTATAACATACTTTAAGAATATTAGTTACAGGCAGTTATTAATATTAAAAAAAAAAAAAAAAAAAAAAATTAGCAATATTAAAAAGGAATTATAAATAAATCGTTAATTTTCTTTTGTAATAATTTTCAATAAATCAAGAAATTTGTTCCTTTTTCTTTTCTTTTCTTTTTTTATTTTTTTTTTTTTTTCTTAATTTCATTGTCACTTTTAAAAAGGATATTTTTCAATTCGTTCTATTGAAAATCTTCACATTTATATAAATATATTCAATAAAAAAAATTGGAATATTTTAATTTTTATTTTAATGATAACTAAGAGTCGAGCTAAATTAAATTGTCCGCACGGGCACGTTTTTTTTTTTAAAAGTTAATCGTAAGGCAATACGATTAAACAATGTTTTATTCTATTGCTCCTAATAAACCAATATATTCAACTGACTATTTGATTTATAATCACCCTCTATATTAGGAGAGCTTTTTCACATATGTCAACACATACACAGAGAAACAAAATCGGTTACGAATTACACAAATATATTGAAGTTTTCTTTTAAATACGCGTACGTTCGTTTAAATACACTTCTTTATCTCGAGAAGGTTACCTTATGAAAAACATAAGGAGTTGAGAATCGCTGTTATCGGATTGAGCTAGATAAGAGATAACGGGCACAACGGCAATGTCTTCACGAACGATTTGGATTCTCAAATTCGAGTATCGCGTCGGTGAGATCGCACGGATTAATTTCACTCGGATAAAAAGGAAAAAAAAAGTAGTTGAATTTGATCTCGTTAAAGTTTATTTCTTCTCTCTCCTTTTTTTCTGTTTTTTTTTTTTTTTTTTTTTTTTTTTTTTTTTTTTTTTTTTTTTTAAAGATTTCTTTTACTATTTCTTTTTGCAATAAGGATTTAGCCTCCTGCTGTTCTACTTGAGTGTTGTTTAATGTGAATTAATTTCAAGGTCGACCGGAAATGTAATTATATATCGATCATGATGATTCATGATAGCCGATAAAATGTCTCAGAGTGTGGTTTTACAAGAATTTAATTAATTTCGTTAAACATCTTTTCTATTTTTTCTTTTTCTTTCTTTTTTTTTTTTTTCCATTTTTCTTTTCTTTTCTTTTCTTTTCTTTTTTTTCCCCTTGCGAAGCTACGATCAACCGTTTAACAAAGTATCGAGTTTTTGGTTTATTTTCGTTGGAATATTTGTTGGGGAAATAAATCGTACGTGCCTTTGCTGACTTTTATCTTTGAATTATTTTAATCGTACACGTAACAGCTTTTGGTCTAGGCAGTGAAAGAACAATCAAACTCGTGTTTAATATATCGCGAATGATTGGTATAAAGGAACGGAATCGTACGAAGAGAATGTCTTTCGTTAGTCTTCATAAAAAGGAAAAAGTGAGCGTTGTAAAGAGATGTCTTTCGGCGAAACGACCGAGAGCGAAATCCTGTTTCGCTTCTATAGATCCATGCATGGTATTTATATTTTATTTCTTTTCCTTTTTTATTTTATTTTACATTTTATTTTATACAAATATTATATATATATATATATATATATATAATTACTAGTAAGTATATTTATTATAGTTATATTTATCATAAAGTATAGTTCTCAAACTTTTTTAGAAAAAATAAATATATATATATATATATATATACATAATAATAATAATAATAAGAATAATATATATATATATATAATATATTGTATATAATTAATATATAAATTATATATCTAATATTAATCAAATCAAATATATACATCATTTAAATATGTATATATATACATATATAAAGTATATGCATATATATTAAAGAAAGAGAAAAAAGAGAGAAGAGAATATTATTAAAATATTAATTAATAGAGAGTTTGGAATCGAGATATAATATTAAGAGATATTTTTTATAATGATACTAGTTATCTATATAATTATTATCTTTTTTTTTATAGATAGTATGGATAGAAATAAATTCATTGTTTCTTTTTTTCTATTTGCATTAAATTTTATTTCTATTGAAAAAAAAATTTATTTAATATTTTTATCAGAAAATATAATTATTATATTTATAATTATTAGATATTATATTTCTTGTTTATCGTGCTTACATTATAAAAAAAAAAAAAAAGAAAAATTAAATTTATTTTTTTTTTTTTTCATGTCTATTAGAAATAATATATTTATTATTTTTCTACTTCTTTACAATTTTGATATAATATCTATATAATATTTATCAGAAAATACATTTATATTATTTTTATAATTAGATATAGTATATTTATTATTCTTTTACTTATTAAAAAAATACATTTACTTATTATTATATTTATTAGATAAATATATTTACTGTTTACGATTACTTATTAGAGAATGAGTATAATTTAGTCTTTCAAATATTTCAAAAGTAAACCTGAACAATTTTTTTAATATTTCAAATAATTTCTGAACAATATTTTTTTACCTTTAATTAAAAAGTATATTTTCAATTTTATTATCGGGATGGAAAAAAGAAAAATATCTTTTGATCATGCTTTAAAATATTAAAAAAAAAAAAAAGTAATTAACAAATGAATGCAAATTTTTTTATACTTTATTTAATACTTTTACGATATCTCTTTATTTTTGCGCTAAAAAAAAAAGAAGGAAAGAAAAAAGCGAGAGAGGAAAAGAGAGAGAGAGAGAGAGAGAGAGAGAGAGAGAGAGAGAGAGAGAACAAAGTATACTTCTTAATAAGAGTAAAAAGTTAGATTATAAAAAGGTAATTACGTTAAATTTTTCTATCCTTTTTATTCTTTTTTCTTTTTTTCTTTTTTTCTTAATTTCTTAATTTTTTTCTTTTCTTTTTTTTTTGTTATTATATTTTTTTTTTTTTTTTTTTTTTTTTGTATTATCACGCATTAAATGAATAGTACGATTTATGCAGAATAGGTTCGGCAGTGAACGTGTTAAAGAACTCAGAAGCGTTTTAGTATAGCCTCGAGCGAATGTAATTTATAGTCGAGTGAGAGAATCTCGTTAAAGAAAATCGATCGTTCGTCCGAGCGCGAATCTTCGGGTCGTCTCGGGATGTCGATACTCGGGACTTCGAAATCGATACTTACTTTTTTTTCTTCTTCTTCTTTTTCTTGTTTTTTTCTTTCTTTCTTTCTTTTTTCTCTTACATCGCGTCCGTCAATCTATATTGCAATCTATTCGCAATGGAGAACCTTTAACGAGGTGATATGCGTCAGAGGATTTCCGGTCTAACAGGGAGTTACGATCATACCAGTCATAAATTAAATTTATCAGAATTATACATTAGAATAACTAGTATTTTACATATCTAAATAAATAAATAAACGAATAAATAAATAAATAAATAAATGGGAAATAAAAAAGTTAATGACTCTTTTTTCCACAACAAAATTTTCTTTACTTCATTTAATGATCACTCTGATATTTATATTATCTAAATATGGAAAAATTAATACTGATAAAAAAATATTAATTATTAATATTATTATTAATGTTATTATACTATAGTAATATTAGTTATACTGCTGTTATATTACTATGAGCTGTTATATAATAATATATTATATCATATCACTAATAGAGTATTAATAACTGTATAGAGTTTAGTATACTAGAGTTAGTGTAATATGATTTCCTGTTTGATAATGAATATTACGATAAATACGAGTCATAAATTATATCGGTTGTAATTATATATTATATATACAAGTTATATAATATTTTATATATTTTATATTTATTATCTTATATAGTACTAGGATATATATTACTATGTTACTATACTAATATCCTATGAACTATATACTATAGTAGATATAAAAAATATTACTATATACTATAGTAAAATATATATATGTATATATACTAATTAAAATGCATTTAAATGTAAAATATTTATTAAACGGAATATGAAAATATTTTTTAAAAATTATTTAATATAAGTGTTAAAATAAATTAATATAAGTGTTACTATTATATTAGTACATTAATAATATATATATATATATATTATATATTATATATATATTATTAATAATATATATATTATTAATAGTTAGTAATAAATATATTATATTTAAATATTTCTTATTATAACCAATATATTAGTATACCAATACTATCATTAATAATTAGTATGTTTTACTAGGTACTATTTTTTTTTAACTTAAAAAAGTAAAGTTCTGTAAATAGATAGTAAAAAAAAAAAAATTGGAAAAAGAATCCTTGTGAATTTTAACAATAAAGCGATGCACAATAAAAAAAATGCATGCATACATACATACATACATACATAAATACATACATAAATAGATACATACATACATAAATACATATATACATGCACACATGCTAATAAAACATACCATTTGAAATAAAACTATGTACAAACAGTAATATAAAATATAAAATAAATTAAAGCATTTAATATTGACATAATTGAATCCAAAAAAAAAATTTCTTGTTAAAAAAAAGAAATAATATTGTTTATATTTAGATAAAAAAATTTCAACTTATGTTACTATTATTAATCAATTAAATAATGGACCAGCAAATAGAAGAATATCTTTGTTGATAAATTCATGCGAAACGAAGTCATTAATAATATTTTAAATTCAACGATGCTAATCAAAATTCGAACGAAATAATTGCAAATGTTGATCATTTATTTTGTTTATTTTTTTTCTCTTTTTTTCTTTCTTTCTATCCAATATCTCTCATAAATCGAGATACAATGAAACACGATTTCAACGAACGATTTTGTTCGAGAGAACGTCAAAAACCGATGGAATCTTTGATCGGCTTAAATCTTATCGTATTTCTTTGATTGATTTTATCATTTACGACGGAATAGTCACGTCGTCATATTATGTGAAAAATAACACGTTTATGTCTAAGAGTTAGTACTAATAGATAATTCTATGCGTCCTATAATCGAACCGTTCACTTTGTCAAATCGATTAACTCCGTATAAAAAAAAAAAAAAAAAAAAAAAAAAAAAAGAAAAAAAGTAAACAAAAAGTGTAAAAATGTACTGTGAATAATATAAATTACTTTTTAAATTTCCATTTGAAATATAAATTCGAATGAACATCGCAGTGCGTACAAATTCCAGACGTATTTAGCTTTAATCTAGCTTTAATAGAATAAAATAGAATAGTATTAGAACAAACCTGATTTATTAAAATAAATTATTTAATTGATGGCCAAGAAAAATCTTATTATTTAATTTATTATTAAATAATGAAAATTAAGGAAATTTATTATGAGTATAAAGAGTGTAGAATATTCTCGTGGAATTGGTTTAACGTTAAAAAAAAAAAAAAAAAAAAGAAAAGAATACCTTGTCAAAATCGATTTAACTTGCGAACGGTCCTCGATCATAATTGTGTTTATAAGTCAAATTTGTTTGTTTGTTTTTTTCTTTCTTTCTTCTTTTCTTTTTTTTCTAGGGCGATTACATCAGGCACCCAGTCCTTTACGAACTGTCGAGCAAGTACGGAGTTGCTGGCAGTGACCAGGTGCCCTTGCCTGTTCGTCTCGATGAGCTCCGGGAACACATACGCAGAGAAATACGTAAGGTATGTGCTTACATTACATTATATTACATTAAATTACATACATACATACATGCATACATGTATACATATACGCGCGCATGTATGTGTATACAGGTTGTCTAAAAAGTATGGTATCAAATGTTATATCACGTATTATTGAGGTCAAATAGATGAAACAAAAAAAAAGAAAAAAAAAAAAAAAAGAAAAAAAATTCACAAACTTATATTCGATAAATTTATATACCGAAAATGCTTTATTAAAAATTTATATCCTTTTAAAGATGTTTATAATTTATTCTGAGATATATAAGAAATATTTGAAAATTTCTTCCTCTGCAAGAACGTAGACTTTGATTAGTCGAATGAACGATTGTCGTAATTTTTTTTTAAATATTATTATTATATTTAATATTATGTTTAATATTATTATATTTAATATTTAATCTATTAATTCTTTTTAATATTCCAACTAGTATTGAAAATAATAGCAAATGCATTTTGTATACATTTTCAAAGTTAATCTTTCGTTTCTATCGTATTTTTATAGAGTTACTTTTTCTTTTTTTTTTTTTTTTTTTTTTTTTTTTTCTTTTCTTTTTTCACACGAGTCCGTAAATAAAAGTTCGAAGGGGAAAAAAGAAGGAAAAGAAAAAAGAAAAAAAAAAAAAACAAGATTTCGGCAATCATTAATTCGAAATCATGAATATCTTTAAAAATGTATGTCTTTTTTTCGATAAAGAATTTTTGAACAACTTTAGTTTGAATATTTTTGAATAAGTTTATATCAATTTTTTTTTATCTATTTGACCTCAGTAATACGTAGTATGATGTTTCCTCTCATACCTTTTGGACACCCTATATATATATATTTACATGTATATATACATGTCTTCGTCATCGTCGTCTTTCGTTTGTCCTTTTCGAGCTCCTTCGTTTTTTCTTCCTTTTCTCTCTCTCTCTCTCTTCATTTTCTTTTTCTTTTTTCTTTTTTCTTTTTTTTTCTTCTTTTTTTCGCTTTCGAATTGCGATTGCATTCGAACGAATTTTATTTTTGCCCTCACGAAAATAGCATCTATCTCGAGAGCACAGTAGAATCACATGTATAACACGGATTTATGTACATATTATTCAGACAGTTTTATACGAATAGATTTTATACGAGCGTCAACTATTATTATTTGATCTATTATGATTTGAAAAGATGAGGAAAAAAAGAAAGAAAGAAAGAGAAAAAAAAAAAAGAAATTAATATTTCCATAATTTGAAAGATCGAGCATTATTTTAAAGATAAATTAATATAAATAAAAATACTATTTTATCGTTTTAATCATTATTGAAAATTAATACACTACTATGTATAGAATTAAAAAGATTATTTTTGAATAAAAGGAAAAGAAAAATACAAATAAAAATAGGAGACGTTTCGAAGATTTTTAATAATTTTCTAAATACGTCGGATTATAAGTGTTAAAAAAAACATGAATAGTAAACATTTTATTCTAATATTTTTCTAATGTTTCTATTGAAATTTAATAATAAAGATATCAATGATATACGATATGATAATTATAAGAAATTTTGATAACGAAATTGAAAAAAAAAAGCCTTTTTCATTTTACTGACTTTTATTTTCGCTAATAATTATCTGACTTTTATTTATTTATTTATTTATTTATTTATTTATTTATTTTTTTTTTTTTTTAAGTACCATATCATACGAGTTTTTTAAAATTGTAATTTATTTTCGTGTAATACAATATATAGATAACTTCGTATAACAATTATATTCAATATCTTCGTTTATTTTTTTGTTCTGTATGTATTTAATAAATATCGATTGTGTCAAAAAGATTTAAGTCAAGTGTTTTAAATAAATTAAAAGGAAAAAGTATTATCGTATCTTAAGTAAATCAAAAAAAAAAAAAAAAAAAAAAGAAAAAAGAAAAAAAATAAATAAATAAATAAAGAAAAAAGAAAAAAAGAAAAACATATTATTATATTTAATATAAATTAAGACAAAAATATATTATTTTAAATAAATTAAATGAAGGGAAAATATTATTACGTATTTAAAAAAAAAAAAAAAAGAAAAATCCAAGTTTTATTACAAAGCATAATTCAGTGGTAACCAAACTTCATACATTTTAATAAATTTTTAATTGCATCTGATTCAATTTTTATTAATACTTTTAATGGGTCTTGAAAAAGATTACAAGACTTATTAACAAATGTTATCTAGAAAAAGTTCGTATTCAATTTTTTTTTCTTTTTTCTTTTTTTTTTTTTTTTTTTTTTTTAATTCACGACTCCTGCAATAGTTAAAAAAATATTTTATAAAACCTTCTTTTTTGTTTATTTCATACACATTGTTTTTACTTTCTTTTTATCTTTCATATATCTTTTTATATAGATATATATGTTTTCAAGTATCGTAAATAATTCATTAAATCGAATATATAAAAAAAAAAAAGCGTTTTGACATAACAGAGAACGTATTTTCCGTATTGTAAGAGATTCTACTTTATTCCGCAAAAAAGGAAGACGTCGTCGTCTTTTTATTCCTAATCTGATAATGGAACTTGCAAAGCTTTTCTAATCATGGAAACATGGAAATTACATGTCGATGACAAAGACGGGAAAATTTTGAATAGGAAAATTATTCAAGGACAGTTTCTCATAAATGGTTGCGTTCCATTTACTTGTAACTATTATGTGTATATGTGTGTATATATATATATATATAATTAATTTCCCATGTTGTCAATTTTCTTATTTCATGTCACTTGTATTTCCCCTTTTATGTCTTACGTTATTATATAGGATCTCTTATGGAATTTTATTCTACAGCTACGTGTAATAAAAATATACGAAGAAAATTAAATATTTTATTTCTACGCGAGTATAACGATATTAATATTTTTTATTTGGATAATTTTTTTCATTGGTTTTTCATTGATCAACTCAATGAAATGATCGTTCGTTGATTTAAATAAATAATTCATTTATAAGATAATAATGTGAATAATATAAATAAATAATAATATATATTATGATAATTTTATAATATAAAAATAAAATAAAAATTGTTATGAAAGTTATTAATTAATGTCTCGAATGAATAAAATTGAAAAATATCGAAAAGAATATATTCAAAAGTTAATGGTCGATTATATTTAATTAAATTGAAAAAGTCGCAAGATAAATTTTAACTATACGATAAAACGGTAATTCAATTTTTATAATCGTATTAACAATTAAATAAAAATTTTTAAATAATATTTATTTTCATATTATTAAACATTATATTATTATTTATAATATGAATATAATATACATTATAAACATATCATAAACATATATTATATATATATATATATATATATATATATATATATTTAATTTTAATTTGATAAATAATAAATTTATGAGAAATTATATTTAAAAAAGAAGGTTTTATGTTCTTCGTTTATCATTAATCCCCCATCATGGGGAATTCTTCTATACTTGATTGAATTTTCTTTACTATATGTATATGTTATATATATATATATATTTCTCTCTCTCTCTCTCTCTTTCTCTCTCTCTCTCTCTCTCTCTCTCTCTCTCTCTTTCTTATTATATGTTATATCTTTGGTTCTAATCTACAGTGAAGAATATCAATATATGTCAGGAACGTTTGTATGTGTGAAGATATGACAAGCTGAATGATTGATATCTATCCAGAAACAAGCAACAAGCCAATGATGGCAGTTATTTGTAAATGATGTAGCCTAAAATGATTCTACTACTCGAGTTAAAAGGTTCTCCCAATCAATTATTTATTATTCTATGATAATTGCAGGTAATGGATTTTTAATGTCCATTTGAATTGAAAATTATTTATCTTTTAAAAGATTATCTTTTGGTCTTCATTACTTACGAGTAACTACAGTTACGTGAATGAACGTATCCGTACGAATAATTTCAATTATCGATGAAAATAATCAATTGTTGAAAATGAAAAATTTCAATTTTATTTTTGTAATAATTTTATATATTAATTTTTATACTCAAAATGAAAAAATGAAGAACGAATTGAAAAGTGATTATTATTATTATTAAATACTTGCATTTACAATTCTATTAAATAAAAATGTTACTTATATCAGATCTGCATGATTATTATTTTTTATAATAAATTGATTAAACAATAAAAAAATTAAATCTAATACATCTCATTTTAATAATAAATTTATGACATTATAATGAACGATGAAAAATATTATTATAAAAATAATTATTAAAATGAATAAATAAAATCGTTAAAATATTCTATTCTTTTTTTTTTTTTTTTTTTTTTTAATATTTATAAATAATACAAATTTTGTATTGAAATTATTAATTTTTTAAATATTAATGAAATTCAATGCAAATATATTATAAATTTTATAATTTTATAATTAACTCTTATAAATAATCATTTAAATAAAATTCTTACCGTCGTGATTTATAAGTATTCTTAATAAATAAAAAAAGAAAAAAAATTATAATTAATATTTGTCTTACAATATATCCAAGCGTTATATAAATGTATTCTAATAAAATTCTTATTTAAAAGAATATAAAATAAAAAAAAAAAAAAGAATAAAATTCTATATAATTCATAATAAACAAATTATAATATAAATCTATAATAATATAATTTAAATCTATATTAAAACAAAATCACAAGAAAAATTAAAATTATCAATTTTTATGATATATAAGTTTTATAAATAAACATTTTAGTAAATTTATAATTATTATAAAAATTTAGAATAAATAAACATTTATTTAAAAAAAAAAAAATATATATATATATATAAATGAAATTCCATGCAAAAGAATTTAAAATAAATGATATTGTATTTTATCTGACATCAATAGTTTATCACACATTTTTAATAGATATAAAATTAGTAACACATAAGCCCACAAATATTTTTTATTGTCAAATAAAATCGTATCCACAGGAGTTACATACAATATAATCCAATAAATAA